AAACAATTTTTGTTTTTGTTTTATGACACAAAAAACCCTGTAGTTCATTCTTTTTAATGACACATGGAATTCATAATTCCTAAAAGTAGGGTCTTTGATGTTAACATGACGTTTACMGAAAAAAAGTTTATTACAAGAAGATAAGTTATTTGGAGTAGGGGATGATTTAGCCTAGAAATTTCAAACAGTGTGTATGGGAAATTCAGTCCTGGTTTTTAAAAAAATAAACTAGTCTTCTTAACAAATAAAACTACATCATTAAAAGTATCATTTTTACAAATAATATATGGTGTATTATAATTGTATCTTTCCTATCTTTAGATATTTCTATAGTAAAATTACCTACCATTTTACTATAGAAGATAAATGCTTGAAACAGTGAATCCAATGATTGTGTCCATTTAGCTGCTCAAGAGATGTAGTTTATTCTGTATTTATGTTCCACACTGGCCTTTMATTCAGCGTTTGAACCTGTGCACTTACATAGTGTCTCGCATGGCTGGCACTGGGCTTGCGGATGCAAGTAGCCATGGTCTATGGACTTTCTGGAGTTTATGCTCCTGCAGAGAACATCTATAGAAAGCGTGAAACAGTCAAATCAATTAATTAATGAAAAATTATATGTGGAGACCTTGATGAAGTTAAAAGCCAAAATATAGTTGATCGTTTTTCACATTTTGCTAACTTTACAGCTGACCTCTAATGAATGTGTCAATATATATGTGGAAACTTGAAAAACCTCAGGTTAGCCCCATGTTCCTCAAGCAGGAACAATTGAATACCATACTGTATAAAACAGAGCAAACTCTCAAAACTAAATTATTCCCCAGATCCTTTCCTACTCCCTACTAAAGTTTAAGTCAAAGGAATTAGAAAGCCAAGCACAGTAATTAATTGATAATCCTCTGGACTCACAAACTATTTTGAATATACACTCACAAAATAACACTTTTGACCCTAAAAGGCATTTTATTCCTAGATTGTAAGAACATAATCTCTTTTATCCAAAATTCTCTTTCTCTAAAATGTTTCATCATTTGATCTCAAGCTCCTCTTCATAGTTCTGTTTTATCTCCATTCAATCCTGCTGAGTACCATTGACATTAAAGCCATCTAAAAGAATGTGGCTCACAGCTCCATGGATGCAATTATTGTGACGTATGTCTTCCATCCTTATCCAGTAGAAATTGTGTGTTGCCCAGGATGATTGATTTATTACTGCCTTTGTACTTGATTTTTGTCATTATTCATCATTTTCTTTGTCAAACAGACCCACACTCTTCTTCATATAACCACCCAGTCCTGTCTCTCACTAAGCAAAGTAGCTGATGGCTCTCAACATCCTACTGTGGAAGCATGTGATGATAGTGCTTGGCAAAAATGGCTACTAAGAAACTATACCAGAACAGAAGTTTTTAGGAATATTTTTGGGAATCTTACTGATTACTTTCTGTAATCATTTTTAGTGATTCGCGTTGCAGACTTTATTATATTTGTTTAGTACTTTTGCTATGTTTGATCAKTGAAATCTGGAAACTTTTTTAAAATATGGTTTTAAAAAATTTTATGTATGGCAACTTTTTATGTCTTTTGCTTCTTAGCTTCTCATTAATTTGGAGACTGTACATATTAAGTAGTGTTTAGTCTATCATTAACATATATTTTTCTATTTCAAATATATGTACATAAATATAATTAATAAAATATTTTATTAAATATCAACTTTTTCTTGGGCTAATTATAGCCATGTCTGTGACAACAGAGTCTGTATCAGAGCTGATTTTAAAAAACCTAACATAGTTAAAATACCTAATAGCTGAAAAAAATGGAATGTTTAATTTTTATTGTTTATTTAATTTTGTTGATTTTAATAGGTGCTTTTGTTGTTTGTAGATGTAGCACACYCTTCATAAAGTGTATAGTTATTTTAATCTGAAATACTAAGAAAATGCACTATTAAAGTCTAAATAAGATGTAATTTTCAATAACTTTATGAAAAAAAATCTAAGCATTTCTTTGTGGTGAAGTGATATAATTATAACAATAAAAATTTTTAAAAATAATATCTTTTATCTCTCCTTGTATGATTTATGACTGTCTTCTCAGTAAGGAATAAAATGAAGCTTGTAGTTAAAATCAGCAAACTGGTGAGCAATTCTAGTAAACGGTGCAAATAAGAACACATCTTAGTTCTTGATTTTATTGGATTTATCACTCAGTAAATGTGATTTTATGTTGTCCAATGCCTTACTTTGAGAATACATGGGAGGTTAGGGAGGTTTTCTGGTTCCCATGTACCAGCTAATGGATTTTAGTGCAAGACACAATGGATCTTGAATTGCTTGTAACATAGCTGTCAATGGAAGTATGGAAAGTGGATGGCAATAGGGGTATTTTTGGATTTGAATCATGTTTGAGATAAGGACATTCTGAATATAAGTCAGAATTCTAAGTTTAGACCCTTTGCATAAAGAGGACTTGCATGGAAGGCAATTTACATATATTATATTAGTGTGCTTTCAGATTAACCATACCTGGTATGTGCAATGCCCAACAAGAGACATTTTAAAACTAAAATTTCACACCCCCCCATGTCTACTTATAGAGTTCTAGGGCAGAGACCACAGCTGGCTTCTCTTGTTAGGAAATCTTGTGGCAGTTCCCCCAGCACTTCTTACAGGCTTCTGGAAGACAGCTTCTGTGCAGGTGACAGCCCAGTGCAAGATTATGAGATCCATTCAGCCAGATGTAGAAACCATCCTGGCTTAATAGTCTTATCCTCACAGGAGTTACCTCCTGTTCCAGCTCTACAGGCAGTTCCAAGAACCCAAGGGGACACTGGAAATTACAGGAGTCTACCCTCAGAATCCCTGAATTTATCTTCTTACATGAATTTGGTATTTTACCAATTTTTCAGTTGCAGAAGCAATTTATCAATCAGAGGTCATTTTTACCATAAACTGTGTTGCCTAGGAACATATAGTTAGCTGTTTTATCTTTATCAGGTTGCTAAGGGACCAGAGTTAGTTAGCTGACTCAAGGTCTGTTTATTTTTAGCAGAAGAGGAAGGGRTATTTGTAAGCATTTATAAATCTAACCAAGTATTTTCTGACAAAAAAAAAAAAAAATCTGATTCCTTAGAATGATTTGGTGGCTTGCCCAAATATTCACAGCTAGTAAGTGGTGGAAGAAGAATTCACACAAGTCTATCTGAGCCTAAAATGTCTGATTTCCTACTGCACTACAGTAAAAAGGAGAAATTTTTGGTTGGTCTTTGTTATCTTAGCAGCAGTGTGTTTAGGCTATTAATAAATACCTTCAAAAGAAAATATTCATGCATTTTTTAGAAAGAACAATGCTTACTAGTATTTTTTTTTAAATTGTCATCATTTGTGTAATGTTTAATAATACTTAATTTGATCCTTCAAGAGAAAAGATCTCAGTTTATTCCATTTTGGCCTAAGGTATCTGATCTGATCATTGATCAAAGAATCCATCTGTTGTGTGTGATCAGCTTAGACTAAGATAATGACAGAGCTTTGTGGGGTATTTCAATGGGCAATAATGTACTAGATATAAGTACAATTCATACTTTCTTAGAAAAAGGACCTAATAGAAGCATGAAATGGTAAGTGATTTTTTTGAAGGAGAATATATATACAAATGACCTCAGGTAAGCAACAAAATTGAAGATTCTTTTTTGATGTTGACTAGAACTTTTTAGGGAAAAAAAATTGCTTTAGTTTCATTTGGATCTTTTTKAACTGGCTGGTGTTTGAATTTCTGGCACGATGAAAAGAATAAATCAACTATCTTCCTGCCTTTCTATCCTTGACAATTTCTTTTTTCTCCATTTTTGAGTATAAATAGTTTGATTCATGTATTAAAAAGCAACAACAAAGGTCTCAATCTTGAAATCTCCTTCACTTCTAGTAGTCTTGCTCTTTTAATTTCCTGCTTATTGTCTATTGGGCATCCTCCACCACAGCCAATTCTTTGTTCTGTCTTTCCTCACAACAGGGCAGCTCTTGGTGTTTTCAGTCCTAATCTAAATGAATAATAGAAAGGGAAGGAGGGGAAGGAAAGATTTTGTCAACCATTAATTTTGGTAATTTGCACAAAAAGGGGGGAATCTGGGGTGCTATTTTAAAGATATACCCACAAATAACTTCATAAATTTTTCTGGTTGGGGAGTTTTTCATCTAATGTGTTTCTAGGCATTGCCCATGAAACTGAAGAAAACTATATATAATTAGTACATATAAAGCACATGGATTTAAAAAATATATATCTGGAAATTTCAAAAATGTGATTTTCCATATAATTGAGAACACCTTTTAGAATTATGAAGAAAGTAAAAAATAAACAAGCATAGCATTTTTAAAAATCTGATCATAATATCCCTGCTATTATTTGATATTCATATGTTCAAATTCTTAAAAATGTATATCAAAATATGGTGATCATACTATCAAGTAAGACAGATCATTTGTTGCCATGAATCACTATTCTAAAATAAATGTGTCAGATACTATGGTTTGTTKAATATTTTGAAATGGGAACATCACTAGCAGTTTTGTTCATTTGGGCCACAGCTGTGACATCTATTTGCATGTTTACCAAATAGTTACTGAATAACACATGCCTAAGAAAACTAAGCTTTTGTGAAAGCTTGTTAATATTTGCAGCCCTCAACTATACTTAGAGCTCACAATGGGCTTTTTTCAAAGAAGCCTGAATTTTTGGCAACCCATGATAAATATTAGCCAATTGCTTTAACCATCTGCAAATAAARGTGCATTAGACAAGAATAACTCCTTAACCATCAGAGTTGTATAAGTAACTCAGAGACACCTATGCACAGTTCCTTCTACAAACATATCACAATGTAATACACTGAAAGAAATCATAAAGGATTGTTTAAAGAGCTTTTTTGATCTGATGTGCTAGTAAAGCTAAAGATGAAAGAGCCTGAGCTGATTATTGATTATCTTTTACAGAGACTCACGTTGAGACATGTTAACAGTAACCAATGTCTAGATGAACCTTCTGAAGAAGACAAAATGGTGCCTACCATGCAGGACTGTAGTGGAAGCAGATCCCAACAATGGCTGCTAAGAAACATGACCCTGGGGGCATGAAGACTATTTCCCCCAAGCCATCAAAGTGTCTATACTTTTGGTTTTCCATTATTTCAATKAGGGGAAAATAATAACTGCTGAAATGAAAATTTTAAAAATCCTTTTAGTATTCTAAAACATAGTTGTTTATAATTCATTTTTAGGAATGTTGGATTATTTCCCTACTAAAATTTGTATCTCATTGAAGAAGCACATAAAAAACATAAATAATAGCCAAGTGTTATTAAGCTATGGAACAACTTGAAAAACAAATTGTGTTTGTTTTAAAAAAAAAAAATCTTACTGCCCTCATGTCACAAGGTTAATGGGAGGTTAATTTATTTTTTGCTGTCATAGTGATTGAGAGAGATATAATGTAAATGCCTTACAAAATATCTTCATTATGAAATATTATCAATTGCTTTATATATTCACTCTTTGTACTGGACCTTCATAGGAACATGTTGAATTTCTATGTCAACAAATATGATCACAAATTATTTCTGAGCATCGAATTCATTGTACAAAATATCAGGTTCCACATTTTGTACCAGGAAAAAAAAWTTAAATTGGATATTGAATTCATAGTCTTTACAAAAACATCACATTTAAACAAAAAAAGAAAGAAGAATTTGAAAATTCGCTTTAAATAGGAAATGCAAATTCAAATGAAGCAAGCAGAAATTAGCCATATATTGAGGAGAATGATGGAGGGAAATGGAAACAGTCCTTGGAAGAGACATGGYGGCTGGGTTGCAATCATTCCTAACACAGGCTGAAGACAAACAATTCCATGGCACAAACTAAATCTGTAGCCATGTCCCTATCTCCACAAACAACATCCCCTTCCTCTTTAGAGTCTGTGGCTTATCACACTGTACAGAATTGTAGGACCAAGTTAGAGTTATAGACTTAATCTTTAATTCTTTCACATTTAGAAATTTTAGTTTAATCACTATTATAGTTCTAATTTTTAACTTTAATAAAATGAATGCACTGCTATTAGAATTTCATTGTTATGCCATCATACTAACATTTTCATCACCAGGGGACTGAAYTCTATACATTCATTAAGCTTTTATTTTAATTAAACTGCTAGATATCAATTACTATAAATTATGACCCACATAATTAGAGAAGCTTTACATGTTCTTCATCTTAAAACAGTTTGTGTTCAAGATACATAAACAATAGGAAAAAAAGGGGGAGAAATATCAATTGGTGAGATTCTTACTAATAAGTTTCTGTATTTGACATTATTTTCAGTGCCCATAAATTTGCTTCACACAAGTGTTTTATTTGTGATAAATGTATTGAGCAGCTCAAAATAATTGGGAGCTGGGAGTGGGGCAGAGGATGGAAGACATRTCTTCTGAAGCAGAAGATTCCAATTTTTTGCCCTCATCTTTTCCATAAAAGCTCTTAAAGAAACTATATTATGGTTGCATACAACTTCCCCCATGCACCTATAATCTTTTATAATGAAAATACAAACATTTTCTGAAAGTTAGTAAGTTCTTGAATGGTTTTCATAGGTAGCATTCCTTCTTCTGTTGACTTTGTATTGGTTCAATTCTAGAGAAGGAATGTCCAAGGTGGAGCATTTCAGATTTGCTCCTAAAAATGTAGACATCCACACTTGGAGGTCTTTGTAAATCTCTCAGTTTTCTAAAATTATAAGAAAAAGTTTGAATGTCAGAGCATTTTTTTTAAGGATAGACTCTGTAGTTGACAACAAATTTAGAAAGGCAGATCTCACTGCCAGAGGCAGTGAACCACTTCCTTAAATTGATCATGGCCTCTCAAGTCAGCTGAGGCCTGACAACAATCCCATTTGACACTCCCCCCCCCCATTTTCTACTTGTCCTGACTAAAATGCATTGTCCCTTAAAATTGAAAAGCTTAAATTATTTTTCTTTTTCTTTATTTTTTTTTTGCCCATTGTAATTATACATAAGAGAATCACTATGTCACATTTGTACATGTACATAACATAATTGATCTATCTCATTCCCCACTCCTGCCTCCTGAACTTGCTGTACTCTAGTGATCTCCCTGCTATTATTACCWTTATTATTMTTTTAATTAGTACATTATAATTGCATATATAAAACAGATYCATTGTGGTATATTCATATATGAACATATCATACTTTGATGGACATCATTCCCCAGTACTTTCCCATTTTCCTCCCAGCCCCTTGATCTTTCTCTATTTTATTCATCTCCCTTCTGTTTCATGAGAACTCCTTTTTAAAAGTTTTATTTTTCTCTAGCATCCACAAATAAGAAAAAACATTTGATGCTTGATTTTCTGACTCTGGCTTATTTCACTTAGCATGAGGTTCTCCAGTTCTATCCATTTATCAGCAAATGACATAATTTCATTCTTTTTTTAATTCCATTTTTCTTTACTGCTGAGTAAAACTCCATTCTCTTTTTATATACCACATTTTCTTCATTCATTCATCTGTTGACAGGGAGCTAGGATGATTCTATAACTTGGCTATTATTAATTGCACTACTATAAACATTGATATACACATATCATCATAGCATGCTGATTTTAGTCCTCTGGGTTAAATACAGAATAGTGGGATAGCTGGGTTATATGGTGGYTCCTAGTCATTCTGGAGGAATCTCCAGATAGTTTTTCAAGGTGGTCATRCTAATTTGCAGTCCCACCAACAATGTATAAATTTGCAKTTTCCCCAAATCCTACCAGTACTGACTGATATTTGAGTTATTTATTATTGTCATTCTAATTGGAGTGGGATGAAATTTCAGTGTAGCTGTGATACACATTTCCCAGATCACTAAAGATGGTTAAATTTTGTCACATATTTGTTGACTATTTGCATTTATTCTTCTGAGAAATGTCTATTTAGATCATTTGCACATTTATTGATTGAGATATTTGGTAGTGTTTTTTTTGTTTAAGTTTTAGGGGTTCTTTATATATTTTGAATATTAATACTGTGTCAGAGGAGTAACTGACAAATGTTCTTTTATATATTTCCCACTTACTTTTGATTTTGTTAATCAAAAGTTATATGTTGGATAGTTAATGATTAATGACAAATTTTTAAAAATACAATTACTTCATGTAAGCTGAATTTGAAGTATTTCAACAGCACTTTAAATGATTGAAAGCTTGTTATTGTCCTAGTGAAAATACAAGAAAACCTAAACCTGCATGAATTTTAAGCTAGRGAAGAATTTTCAAAGACTATTCAGATGGTTTGAACACATACCATGGTAGTGCCTCACAACAACAACAACAACAAAAAGACATAAAATATTATAAAACATCCCAAACCAGAAAGCAATGAAAACATTCAATTTTTATTTCAAAAATATTTTCATATACTATAGAAAATTAAAAACATGATTGGATTTCCAAAGCATTCCTTATTTCAATCCTCCCACTTCCATGGTCTTTCTCATCTGAGTTAATGCAACTCCAAACTTCTAGATGCTCATGTCAAAAATCTAAAATATCTTTTGACTTCTCCCTTTCTCATCTTTCCATTATCAAATTCATTTGATGCTACCTTTGAAATATCCAGGCATTACTGTTATCCCACCATATCCACTGTGAGTCACTGACTTCATACTTTTTTWTTTGCAATGTGCTTATAATTTGGTTCCCTACTTTTGCCATTCCTTGTCTTGGTCTTTTCTCAATGTAACAGACATAGTGATTCTGTCAAATATTCATGTGAATGTGTCATTTCCCTGCACCCAGCACCCAATCTTCCAATGATTTTTCATTTCTCCTCAGAGACCTTCAAGGTACTTCATGATGACAGACCTCTCCATAGACCCTCAGGTTCCTTAGATACAAACTTTCTCTCTCTCTCTCTCTCTCTCTCTCTCTCTCTCTCTCTCTCTCACACACACACACACACACACACACACCTTACTGTATTTCTTATCTCTTCTCACTTGTTACTTTCTCTAACAGGTTTTCATGTGACTTTCTGCATTAGTGTATTTTTCCCTCTGCCTGACAAAGCTCTCTTGCTCACTTTCTTGAGATCTCTGTTCAAATATCACCTCATTAGTAAGATATACTGTTGTCCTCCTTCCYACCCTATCCCCTTTACCTCTGACAAGCTATAAGTTTAATTTTCTCTTCTATCTGCCCTTTCACCTCTCCCAGTACCCTGCTCCCATCACACACTCTAGAATATGTTATTTGCCTTTTTATTTATTTAATTTTTTTGCTTGTTTGTTGGTTGGTTTTTTTTTTTTTTTCTGCCCTGAGGGATAGAGCCCAGGGCCTCAAGCATGCTGGGTAAGTGCTATTACTAAGCTATACCCCAGCCCAGTAAGTCCATTTTGAAGGTCGTATATTTGTCAGTTTGTTCACTGGGTATCATCATTATCTGGGATAGTTCTTAGCACATATTGAGTATTCTTTAAATATTTCTTGAACTAATGAACTGAAAAGTGTGTGTTAAAGTTGCTAAGTGCTACTGTGTAATTCTTTTTTGTGTGTCTAAATTTTAAATTCCAGTAATATATTTATACAAGATTTGCATAACTTTGTCTCCGAACGATAATTTGCTTTCTAAAATCCTTCATATTAAAATATGGACTATATGTTGTTCTCTGTAATAAAATATCCTGCCTTATAGAAATGAAATATGACATTTTATATAAATGCTGCTATACTATATAAGTTGCTTCATTAAGCTATAAATAATTTTAATTTCAATTTGTTGGTTATATTCAATGAACTCCTGAAGGTCTTCAGATTTTTAACTTTTAGAGGGGATATATTACATTTTCTTAAAACTTTTACATATTTTCATGGTCTAATAATAGCTGTTACTAAATTTATTTTCTAAGTGCAAGTCTATGAAGAAAAACAATTACAGAAAACTTAAAACTTTACAGATGTTCTGTTCTTAGGTTCTGTGTTTCCAGATAAAAGAGTGAGACCCAGACAGGTAACATAGTTTGCCTGGGGATCCTACAGCTACCAGCAATGATGCCAGGACTGCTAATTGTTAATATATAGCTTCATTCTCTTGCTCCAAAATATTATAAAAAGGACATAATGTGACAAAAAAGGCTTTATCAAAATTTTTTTATTAGTACATTGATTCTTTAGAAATATTTATATTCTTAACATCATTCATATTTACATAAAATTAGTTCTACAAAATAATAGCACAGGCAATAAGACCTGCCACAAAAAAATAAAGAAATTTCCTAAAAATAGCATGATTACAGAACRATAGAACATTATAGAATCATTGAGCAAACTGGGTTTCAGGAAACAAAGCCAAGCCTCTTAAAGTAGTAACTTATGGAGCACAGTCTCTTCCATTTTTTTATAATTATCTTCAAGCTAAAAGTAAAGATAGCCTTCAGTTTGACAGAGAATTGGAACATATATTATTGTGAACATTGGCTAGTTCTATGTTACTAAGTTTCAAAAGCTGCAGGGTAATCAGATTTTTCTGGGCTTCCAAATGTAGCTCTAGAGACTCTAGTATGCATAAGTCATAAATTTGATTTTGCTTTGGTGCTTGGAAACAGTTTAATAAATAAGAAAGAAAAATGAGTAAAAGGAGAAGAAAATAAAAAAACAACAACATAGCTGGACCATTTTTTTTTTTACTTTAAAAAAATGCTGGGAGTTTAGGATCATACCATAAATTGCTTAAGTACACCCCAAAATATTGAGCCCMCACACACACATTGTTTCCACCATTTAAGAAATGATAGTTATGCACAATCACAACCATTTCAACTTGCATCCCATC